GGCGCAGAGTTGGTGCAAGCATTGTGCCATCTGTATCGTTTGTCCATGGAACGCTTACTTTTGGGCCGCGCCTGGTTTTCATCCTCAGATATGCCGGATGACTGTTTGACACTGTGTAAGCAACTAGGATTCCTCGTCCCTGTGGACAACCAGTCATCAGCCAGTGGCAGTGCTGGGCGACGTGTTGCCTTTCTTCACCTTACCATACAAGAGTTCTGTGCAGCACGTAGTTTCGCAACGCAGCAGTCCTTCTTCGTCTCGAATATTTCACAATACGTCTCGGAAATTGGCCTGGGTGAGGAAACGCAGCCATTCTGGCGTTTTGTTGCGGGTTCTATTCACACTAAGCTCCTGCCTGACTTGTTTAAAGTCATGCTGGCTGAATCAACACACAAGTCAGTGCTCCAGCAACGCCGCTTCATCTTGTTCTTGATGTCGTGTTTACTGGAGTGCAGTCTTTCATACAACAGCTCCCCCGTCTTGTCTTTCAGAGACGATCAGTGTAAAGATCTCGTCCGCTCCGCCGTAATACTACTGCAAACATCACATGGAGTTAACTTGTCAGGCATACATCTGAACGATAGTGACATATCAGCTTTGTGCAATGTGTTGAGACTGTCTGAGCGAGTACACCTTGTAAACATAAGTAACTGCAACCTCTCTGGAGATCAGATCACGGAGATAGCGCCTTACCTGAGACAATGCGTTGATGTGAACCTACATGGGAACAACCTGAGCGGAGCGTCACTGGAAGTTTTCGCTGCAGCGCTATCCCATTCTCAACATATGCAGCGTGATTGCACCATTGCAGAACTGGGCATTTCAGGTGCATGTTTAACGGAGCAAGACGCGGGGTCCTTGTCTAAGCTGCTTCACTTGCCCCATCTTCGCACTATAAACGTATCGGCCAATGACTTGGGAAACGCTTCGCTGGAACTACTCCAAACAAAAATTACAACACCTTTCCTGAGCATGTCTGACTTGAATGCACAGGAGATTGGTTTGTTCACGGGATGTGGTACAGCCCTTTCTTCACTGATACTGTCCATGCCAAATTTGACTATCCTGAGTCTGGCCTACAATGACCTCAAGGACGAGGATGCCACCTGTATACTGTCAGCCCTACAGCACAATCAAAGTATAGAGGGTATCGGCCTTCAGAATAACCTACTCACCAATGGCATTGCTTCGCATATAGATAACTTCTTGAAGGCAAGGCGTGTTCACACCAACACCGCATCAGCAGACAAGGCACAGGCACGGCCGAACAAATTGCAGCGACCATGCCGCATGTTTCTTACTGGAAATGATGTGGACGCGTCTCTGCTGAAGGCACTGGAGAAGGCTGGTAACTGCGGCGATGATGAGATAGTTATAGCCGATTGGTCTATCACATCTGGGCGTACGTGCCAGAGAGATGTGAAGGACATCGTTGCGCAATATGGAGGCAACCTCTTAGCCAAAGTATCAAACTTAACTATGGAGAGCCTTGGAAAATTCATTGCCGGTGACAGCAGTATCAGGACACTTGACCTGTCTAGCAATGCTATTAAAGATGACGGTGTCCAGGCATTGGCAAGGCAGGGACTCCAGTTCAACTCAACTTTACACTCTGTAGACTTCTTTCGGAATAGTATAAGCATTAGTGGAGCGGCGGCAATAGTGGCTTCATCTACACAAGGTAAATTGCAGCGCCTGTCGTTGACTAGTAATCCTGTCTTCATGGATGGAGTGACTGGTGTGGACTCCTACATGACATTCATGTCATCATTGCCGCTTTGCTGTGACCTCCGGTGTGTTGACATGGGCGAGACAGGAATGACGGATGCCATCGCAGAGGATCTACTCACAGCCCTGACTGGTCACGAGAATCTGCAAGTTTTGTTCCTGCATAGCAACAAGCTGGGTGACAACACAGTGAAAAAGCTAGTTGACATGAAGCGGACGACCAGCTCATTGAAGATGGTGTCGTTGGTGAAAAACCAGATAACAGGAGATGGCATCCGATGCATCTTGTCTTCACCCGATATGATGTCCATGGACCGCATTTGGGTGGGTGGTAATCAAAAAGATATTTCCGTTCCGCCACCGCTCACAAACCACAAAGAACTCCTGCCATATGATTTTTTTGAGGCATTTCTTCGGTGAGCATGCTACCAGCCCGCAGCAGCGAGGATCACCACTGCCCAAAACACAGCCAGCTGAGAGTGGCAGATCGGAGGACAGTGATCACTTGAACCATGTAGCTTGAAACATTACACTGTTAGTTTTGCCGGATATACTTAATTACTTATAGAAAAAGCAGTGTGGCCGATGTGCTGTACATCTAGTTTTGTAGCTGTTGCCGCTAGGTGACTTGTGTGGCCAGAATGGTATGGGTACAGTGATACGGACAACACTGTATTTTTGTATTTTGCAAAATGTAATGTATTTACATGTATTTGAGTTCATTGTGTCATCAGTAGGAATTACAACTGTCAAGACTAGAGAACAGTCATGT